GACGGACCAAATGATGGGCTTCAGATGAAAGTCTAATGTCAGACTGGAATTTGATCGAGAGAACCTTGAGAGTCACCTAGTGTAGCTCCTTATTCTTCACATAAGAAAAACAAGACTCAGAGAGAGAACTAGTCACTGCGGCCCATTATATTTAATGGTATTTCTGACAAGAAAACATGTTGGCATTCAGCATTAGTGTACAAGTCCTGGAATTCTTCTTTGCAATACTATTTATAACCACTGTTTTGGATTCTCTTCGTCTTAATTATGCTTCACTATGAGTTAGGGTTTGATTTGTATCTAACATTACTAAATCTGTTCCATGAGTTGTAGGGAGATGGATTTGATACGAATCATTAAACAAAAACAAAAAGTTGGCTTTGGCAGTCTATGTACTTTGTCAGATAGTGAAAGTTCTTTGGGCGCCTCCTTTGTGTGCTGGCCATGTTGTGGGTACAGATAATACAGATGAACTAGCCACCTTGCCTACTGTGACATTGCTTATATCTCATCACTGACAGTTTGTTGGAGAGATACACAAGAAAGCTGGGGGCCCAAAGAAGGGGGTGCTGGGAGAGCACAAAAGAGTAGTTCAGCAGGGGACTTGGATGCTACTGTCAGACCAGTAGGAGTCAGGCACAAAGTGATGAAATCCATGGTACAGGGAGGAGTACAGTTTGTTCCCAATAGCTGGAGCTAGGTGGCATGGCATGTGGGGAGTAGAAAATGGAGATGGAGATAAGCAGGAGCTAGATCAACAAGGACTGGAGGCTTGAGATTTGTCCCCAAACAAGGCGCTGTTGAATGATTTAAAGGAAGAGCTAATAACTTCATGTTCATTTTAAAAGAATTGCCCTGGCATCACTGAGCAGAGGCAACAAGAACCAGCCTGGCACCAGTTGGGAAGGAAAGAGGAGAAGAGGAGAGTCTGTCCTCGGTTAAAGCCAAAGGAATGAGGGGCCAGGATGAAGAGCTAGAGGACTCCACAGGACTGGGTATACCTTGGTATACATTGGCAATAAAGAGAATGGAACTATCCAGCTCTGGCATTATTGGATGGATAAAGTAGACATTGTCTGTGGTTGAGAAGCAGGAATGGAGAAGAAGGTAGCTTGCATTTTAGTCTTGTTGAGTTTAAGGACCTATGGGACAGTCAGTGGAACCCAAGCCAGTAGTCCACAGCTGGAACTATGGGAAGCATGAGGCAACCCGATAAGCAAGTTCCTTCTGGTAAGTGACTAATATTTCTTTAAAAGTGTAGAGCTTTAAAGATATAAGGTAATATAAGGCCTTTCATTTCAAAGAATAGTTTTATAATGGCAGTGTGTGGTATCGTAAGGTAGAAGGTTTGCTTATAGCCCTCCAGTGAGACAGACATGCTTTCAGTCTCAACCTTAGCTCGATGACTTGGAACTAAGTTGTTTTAGCCATTAAGCTTGAAGGCCTCTATCTGTAAGGTGGAGTTTCACAGTCTTAGGGACTACCTGCAGTGATGCCTGCTTTCCCCTTCCCCCACACGATTTTCCTCTCATTCACTTTCCTTCATTCTTACCACCTTACTTATCCTTATACTTGTTCACCCTCTTTACCTGCTTACTTACTGACTTTCATCCCTCTCTTCCCTCCCCCCCCCACCACTAAAATAGAAGCCTTTTAACAGTGCGGGTTCTTCTCTGGTGCACTGCTGAGTGCCTGATGCCTGGAGCAGCATCTGGTCCTCAAATGTTTGTTGCATGGGTGAATGAGTGAAGAGGCAGCACAGCATAGAACATACAGTGTGTGGTGACAGTGGTGGTACTTTCACTAACTCCTGTTGAGAGAAAAGCTGTTACCAAGGGCTGTCACTCAGGTCATCCCAAGGCCTCATCCCCTTACAGCCCACACCTGTTTCTGCCTTTATACGGCACTGCCCATTGCTGGAGAGAGGGAAGCCTTATCCTGCCTGTTCTAGGAACAAAGGAGTCACAGATGAGGAGGAATGAGCAAAGTAGCCCTGTGAGGGTCAGGAATCAGCAGCAGGATTCCCAGATTTCCTGGAGAGATCCCAGGAACCTGCAAAACCTTTCTCTTGACAACTCCCACTTGGAAGCAAATCAGGACATCAAAGAGCTCCCTGAGGCCTCACACCTGCACCAGGGCCTCACAGCCTGCTGCAAATGCTAGGTACAGTGGTGGGAGGAACCCATCTTCTTTGGCCAGAGTTGGCATCTTCAAGTCAGAGCCCGGGGAAGGGTTAGAAAATGAAAGAGAGAGCAGAGAGTAACAAATTCCTGCCATTAGAATGGCAGAAGTAGTGTTGAATTCTTCCATCTTTAAAGTGGATCACATGGGGAACCAACCTACAAACAGGACTCCACCGTCTCTGGCTGCTATTGGGATTCAGATGAAGTTTCCACTTCCTCACAGCCAGCTGACTGGACACGCTCTGAAGAGAAAGTCCAGTATCAAAACCTAAATCTAAAGTGAAACCCAAATAGCAAACACCAGTGTGCATTAATTGGAGCCATTTATTCATGTTGAAACTAACATTCCCTCTACTCCTTAGCCCCAGGAAATTGTTCTTTGTTTGCTGCTGCTCATTTCATTTCTCCCCTTTTCATCTCTCAGTGAGTGCATCCTTCCAAGGTTCTCAGCATGTGCTTCAGATCCCAGACTGTCTTATGGAAAGCATATGTCTTAGGGAACAGACTGTGCCACGCATAAGCTTTGCAGCCAGTTGTATTTCTGTCCTCAGATTAAGTGAGAAATGACAGGATTTTGGAAGGCTGAGAGGAATTTGGGGGCCAGTTACTCAGCTAGAAAACTGCATAAAGTAGAAAGTTTCTGGAAGACGTCTAAGAGAAGAAGAGCATCTCCTGTAAACCAGTGCTTCTCGTTCATTTACTCACTTATCTATTTACTCACTTATGCAACACTTTTACTGATAGTTTACCTGGTACTAGATACTACACTCAGCACCAAAAAATGGCCAGGTGAATGTCCTTCAGTCCTGGTGCCCAGAGCCCAGGGTCTGAAAAATCTTTTGTGTCTGAGAATCAGGAAAGATTCTCCCAAGGAGAATGACAGCAATGCTCTAGCCGAAAACATAAACTCAGGGAGTACCTGAAAGATTTCTGAAGACAGGGGAGAAAATAAGTTCCCTCGAGGATAGTGTACTGAGAGAGAAGAACAAGAGGCCAAAAGATAGTGCCTCAAGCAATATAACATGTAAAGAGGCAGACCAAGAAAAGAAATGGATGAAGAAATCTGGGAGACAAAATTAGAAAATTAGAAAGAACCAAGAGCGTGCTATCTCAATAGCAAAGTCGCATGTCATCAACTGTGACAAATGCCACGGAAACTTCCTCTTTGATGAAGCCTAAAACTGTCCATTGACTCCTACACGAGCATGGTCATTAGTGATCTCAGCTGTTCCGGGGACAGTGTGATAGCAGCAGGGTGACTGCAGGTGCATACAGTATGGTTTAGATAAAAAGTGATCAGCAAGTCGGGCGCTGGTGGCTCACGCCTGTAATCCTAGCTACTCAGGAGGCTGAGATCTGAGGATCGAGGTTCAAAGCCAGCCCAGGCAGGAGAGACCGTGAGACTCCTATCTCCAATAAACCACCAGAAAACCGGAAGTGGCGCTGTAGCTCAAGTGGTAGAGCGCTCGCCTTGAGCTGAAGAGTTGAGGGACAGCGCCCAGGCCTAGAGTTCAAGCCCCACGACCGACAAAAAAAAAAAAAAAAAGGCGATCAACAACTGTAGAGAGGGAAGGAGATAGCCAGAATAGAAGCGGGAGGAGGAGAAACCAAGACCTTTTTTCAAAGATGACTTTGTAACTTTTGTCCAGTGTTTTGAAGACCTTTCTCATATCCTCTCTTTCCTTCCTCTCTTCCATCTTTTCCTCCTTTTATCCTCTCTCCATCCCTTCCTTCTTTCCTTCCTGGCTTCATCATGGGCTGCTGCCCCATGTTGCATCCTCTCTACACAGCCCAGGGCCCTCAGAGGGCTTGTGCGTGAGTGAGCAGACACTCATGATCACTTCCTCTCTTCCTCTCCTGTTGGAGTTAAAGCCTGTTTTCTCCACATGTGACTTCACTGGGTCATGTGGACAGCTGGAAGCACCTCCCAGCAGTGATTCCCAGCATGCTCTAGTTTCCATGAGCCTCTAGCTACTGCTCCTAGATGTTGACTTTTCATTGCTGGAACTCAGCCCACACCATTTCTCCTCCCCACTTCCTTGCAGAAACACTGTGGCTTCTAGCTAAGGCCCAAAACCTATCCCCTGTCCTCACCACATCTGTTTATGTACATTTCCTCCACTTAGAGGCCTTCTTATTTTATAATGTATTAACCCATTGCTTCATGGATAGGTGAAATCGTAAGGAATTAGGAAGATAGTCTACAGCACCTGAAGTAGGGTTCATATAGCATAGGCCCTTTGCTGAGGCTGGATGGAAGAAATCACAAGCTTGAAACCCATCAGACCTAATGTCTTTGAGGATGGCGCCCTTTCCATTCCATCCTTTACACAATCTGCTACCACCTGCCCAGAGCTCTGGCTTTGTTAATTTTGGACATTTATGGAATACCTGTTCTGTGCTGGAAAAGGTAAGCACAGAGACCAACAGGGAGCAAGGCAGCCACCGGCTTACCTTAGGGGGGACTCTGTTCTAGTAGTGGAGAAACACCCACCCACAAATGCTGTAACCTCAGGAAATAAGCACAAAGCAACGCAACAAGGGAGGGCAGCAAATTAATGCTGAGACCTGAACAGTGATACTCAATGAAGTGTTCTTTGGCCTTTCTGCCCTTACAGCTCCACACCTTTAATGTTACTTCTAATAAAGTCTTTGTGTAAAGGATGTACTAAGATGCCCTGCTGGGCATTCTCCTGGTCAGTGAGGTCTCTGCTAGCTAATAACCATCAGCTCTCCCAAGGCTACTTCCTCCTACTTGCATGAGGAGGGGTGGCTGTCCTGGGCTGCAATCTGACCTGATGCTGTTCTCTTCTGCAGGTGAGCCGGCCTCATCCCAGTGATCACCCCCTCCTCATCCTTTTTGTAGTGGGTGGAGTCACAGTCTCTGAAGCTAAAATGGTCAAAGACCTTGTGGCGTCCCTGAAGCCAGGATCCCAGGTACTGAGTCAGGGGTGATGTGAATAAGGACCCAAGGGTAGAACAAAAAGGGAGGGAGATGGCCGGGCACCGGTGGCTCACGCCTGTAATCCTAGCTACTCAGGAGGCTGAGACCTGAGAATCGAGGTTCAAAGCCAGCCCGGGCAAGAAAGTCCATGAAACTCTTTTTTTATTATTATTTTTATTTATTTTTTATTGTGAAAATACTGTACAGAGGGGTTACAATTACATGGGCAAGATAATGAGTACATTTCTTATCAAGCATTGTAGCCTCCTCCGTTGTTTCCCCTTCCCATCCTCCCCCCCCCCCCCCACCCAATCCTCCTCACCCCCCCCCCACCAAAGTTGTAAAGTTTGTTTTTGACATAACGACTGGTACTTCTCATTGTTGGAACAGGTCCACCTGTATCCTTATTTAAACGACTTGTTTTTCCCCTTCCCCTCCACAAATTATACCAACATCAAATACAGTGAAAGCAGGGGTTATACTGTTGGGGAGGGACATACAAAGCATGAAACTCTTATCTCCAATAATCCACCAGAAAACCGGAAGTGGTGCTGTAGCTCAAGTGGTAGAGTGCTAGCCTTGAGCTGAAGAACTGAGGAACAGCACTCAAGCCCCACAACTGACCAAAAAAAAGGTGGGGGGAGGTAGGGAGTGTTCCCCACATCTGTTCCAGCCTAGTTTTCTTTCTTCTTATTTGTGTCCCAGGGTCAGCCCAACACCCATGGAAAGCCTTTGTTCCTTGTGGTAGAAGTCTTACCGCTTTAGTAAAGTCCATCATGAGTCCCTGTTCCTTAGTAAAATCCATGCAAATAACTCCCTGTTCTTTGCAAAATAAACTGTGCTCCAGGTGGACAGGGGATGGGGTGCTGATAAAGAAGAGCTCTCTACTTCTACCCCACCCACTCTTCCTAGTCCCTTGGCTCTTTCTAGGCTCCTAGGCCAAGGTGCTGTCATTCTATTCCTGTCTCTTATGGCAGGGGCTCTCCAGTGTGTGCCTAATCACTCAGGAGTTCTACTTTCCAGGCTCTAGACCATTGAAGGACCCAGACCAGGGACCTCCTTCCTTCCAACCGGCAATCAGGGGACTGGGTGTCCAGAAAGACAATGACTGGTATTTTACTCTCTGCCTCCTGCCAGGTCCTATCCTGTTCCTCAGATGGGAAGGTTGGCCCTGTGGCTACATAGTTAAGAAGACAAACCTTTTGATTGTAGAAGCTCAGGTTCCTATCTGGCTCTCCTTTGACTAGCCAGGTGATCTGGAATTGCTCTCTCAGTGAGGATCCAGGATGGCAGCTGTGAGTCCTGACTCCAGTTCAGGCTGAAGAGTGCACCTCCTACCACAGTGCCTGGCTCCCAGCTGTCATCACTGGTGACCACACTTATCCTCTGCCCTCCTCAGCAAGAAGGCTGAGGCTCATGGCCCCAGATAAAGACTTCTGGAACAAGAGGCCCTTGCCTCTGCAGGCTCCAGCCTGGCTGAGGACAAAGAGCCTGTAACTAACTAAGGTTTAAAACTCTTGTTTCAGCCGGGTGCCAGTGGCTCGTGTCTTTAATCCTAGCAACTCAGGAGGCTGAGATTTAAGGATCACAGTTCAAAGTCAGCCCTAGCAAGAAACCCCATGAGATTCTCTGTGGTTCAAAGTGGTAGACCACTAGCCATGAGCAAAAGAGTTCAGGGATAGCTCTCAGGCCCTGAGTTCAATCCCCACAACTGACCACCTCACCACCCTCCCCCTCCCCCCCCCAAAATCCTTGCCCTTGCTTACAGGTCCTCAAATACTCCCTGAGACAGGGGCATGGGGGGACTGGTTAAGTTGGTTTACTGTCCACATAGCTCACACAAACCAGGAGCAGTGAGATTCAGCCCGGTCCTATCTGCTTATTCATCAGAGCTGCTGCCCTGTGTCCTGCCTCCAGCCTAAGCTCTATGTGTCCACGCAGCTAGCCATGGAGGCCTGTGCTCCCCTGCGGCAGTCCTGCTTGTTGCCCCAGGCCCTTCCTGAATCTCTGCTAGCATCCCAAACCCATACTACATAATGATGCCCAGGAGTGTTCTCTGACCACTGTGTATTTGCTGGCTGGCTTATGCTCCTAAACCAGACATGGGTTCCTGGAAGCAAGGGTTACCAAGGGCTGAGACATGGCAGGAGCTTAGTAAACCTGGTGGTTTGCTGGATTTATTGACTCTGAGAGAATGGAGTTGGGGGGAGCAAACTGTTGTTGTTGAGTAACTCAGCCACTTGGGAAGTTGATCCTTATTGGTGCCTAGATCCCAGAATAGGAACCGAGGATTTAGGAAACCATACCTGATTCTTCAGTGAGAGAAATGACTAGGCATGCACTGTAACTTCTGTTATTATCGCCTGTTATTGTCATAGCTAGTGACATTTCTAATGAATTGGTAAATCCAGTCTCATTTAACACACTCTATCGGGAGAGTCAAGCATCTGTTTCATGAGTGATTGGCTTTATCTGTTGTGGCTGTTGTTCATTTAAATCAGAAAGATGGCTTCTTACTGTCCCTTCCATGGTGAACCAAGTTCTTAGAGGTTCAGAACAGGGCTGCATTGTAACAGCGGGACATAGTAATCCCCAGTTCTGGAGCCTGCCTTAGGTTTGCTGCAGGCTGACCTTGCAACCCAGGCATCTGCAGAAAGAGACTGTAAGAAATTTGGAGCTTTAGGGGGATTCAAGGCTTAAGGCTCTGCCTCAGGCTGCTTTTCCTTTGTGCAAAAAGTCAACGAGCCCTAAGAGGATTCTACCTGCCTGGGAAAACTGAGGCAAGGTAGTGATCACGGAGCCCTTGCCCCCAGCTTGTGAGGGCAGGGGATTATCTGCAGGTTGCTGAGTGACATCAGCCCACTAAAGTCCCTGCCCCTCTTACAACCAACACACACAGCTGCCCTGGCCTGAGGCTAACAGAACTCAGCCTCCTGCTTATAGATATGCCTGGACATCAGGGCACAATGGCATGTGTACCAATCCTGTCCTCTGCTTAGAGTGACTTCTGCTGGGAGCACACATGTCCTAACTGGAGGGGTAGGTATTTCAGAACTCATGTACCAGGAGACACCCAAGGTTCAAGTAGCAACCATGGAATTACTCAGACCTGATCATCAGTGGGAACAGTGCCAACTCACACGGGATAGTATGGCATGGAGTGAAGGCCTGCCCCTCCCAGGGCAGCCTCCTCCGGTCTTGAGAAGTTTTACTCTGAGGACTGTCTCCCCCATGAGCAACCAAGTCCCAGTGCCCCTCTCCTCCCACAGGGCTCTCGCTCTTTAGAGCTGACTTTAGTGGGCCACAGAGAACTTAACAAGCAAGTTGGCCGTGTACCTAATCCACATGACAGCTCCACAGACATGTAAAGCAGGACCCCAAATCATCCCCCACATCTTGTCTTCACACCCTACAGCCACCTGACTCATCCCCCTAGGATGCAGACCTGAGAACCTGCCTGTCCTCAGCCCCACACACAGCCTCCCTTTCACACACAGTTGAAGCTGAAAACCACCCCATTGATGCTAACTGATGAGAGCAGAGGAAATTAAGGCCCCCTCCCCCTTCTATTCCTTCCAGCAGCTTCCGAGAGGCTATGATAGAAAACACGCCTCAGTCAGGGGGCATTTGAAGCTGAAATGTGAAGTGAGTTCAGGAATCAGCTATTCAAGGAAACAGATGGAATTTTCTTTTCTTTTTTTTTTTTTGGGGGGGGGGTTGGTCATGGGGCCTGAACTCTGGGCCTGGGCGCTGTCCCTTAGCTCTTCAGCTCAAGGCTAGCACTCTACCACTTGAGCCACAGCGCCACTTCCGGCTTTTTTCTTTTTGCTTATGTGGTGCTGAGGAATCGAACCCAGGGCCTCAGGCATGCAAGGCAAGCACTCTACCACTGAGCCACCTTCCCAGCCCCCAGATGGAATTTTCTTAAGGCCCCTATGAAATGAACTCTCTTACACAAAGCGTGACAAGGATAGCATGAAACATAAGGAGCCGCCACCATGTCCCAACTACAGGACTTGTTCTCTTTTCTCCCTGCCCACAGTCACTGACCATGTGCTCAGGACAGAAAATGAGCCAAATAAAGAAGCACCTCACTACAAAAGCTCTCTTAGCCAGGCCCTGGGGGCTCATGCCTGTAAGCCTAGCTACTCAGGAGATCTGAGGATTGTGGTTTGAAACCAGCCTAAGCAGAAATGTCTGTGAAACTCTTATTTCCAATTAACCACCAAAAAGCCAGAAAGTATCGCTTAAGTGGTAGAGCACCAGCCTTCATCCAAAAAGACAAGTGACAGACAACAGGCCACGGACACATGTGTACACACACACACACACATACATACACACCACCTCTTTCCTTGACTTGACAAAGGAATACAACTCCCTAAACCCATCCTAAGCAGATCAAGGTAGGAGTCTCCATCTGGCCTTCCCCTCTCACAATGCACTTGTAGGGGCACCAGGATATCTCCTAAGTCTGGCTCCATAGCCGGATGGTGACAGTGAGGCCAGCAGAGGCCTGTGAGTGTGAGAAGAAAATAATGGGAAATAATGCTATCTGGGAAAACAGAGGATCTGCCAGATCAAGGGAAAAAGAAGATGGTGCCAGAAGTTGGGCCCGCCTCCTGCTGCTTTTCATAGATGGGTGCATGTGTCACCTACCCCCACTTTCTTGCACTAACACATTTTTGGAACTGAATGTTAAATGAGGACATAATAATATATTTAAGCAGATTCATAACTATAATCACACACCCAATATGCATGCAACTTGAGGGGTTTAAAGAGATCCCTGCTCCATTTTGTTTTTACATTGATAGGAACCTTCAAGGGAGAGACAATAATGACAACAAATCATAAGGGACCGAGGTGAAAAGATGTTTAAACTCCCCCTCTTACTGCCTTCAGCAGATCTGGACTCCAACACACTTAGCTGTGGAGCATCATGAAAGCAGATCATGTGGTTCACAGGCACTTTCTAGAAAAGATAATCCAT